GAAAACTTGGAACAACGACTAGATTCGATTTAGAGACAACCGTAGAAACAACTTCTACCCAACGCTGGTCAGCGACCGGTGAACGTCTATTAAATCCAACTTTTACCCCAACGGTCAGGTTTGCGAAACGCGCGTGTGTCCCGGTCACGGAGATAGAAAGAGTTTTCCCTCTTCAGCTGGGAGAGAAAGGCGTCGTGGTAGTGTTGGTGGTGGTGGTTGTCGTCGCGCGAGACCAATTTCGTAGTTGAATTTCAGCGGCGCCTGTTATCCTGACCACCTACTGTTCGTTTCCACCTACTTGGCCTGCCTGTCCATTAACATGGCTGGCCTCGTTTAAACGTTTCCGCCGTTTAATCGTGCATACCTAATCCAGCCTGGTCACACGTCCCCCAAGTGTTCTTTTTTTTTTATTTCTGTTACAGGCGGGAACAACCTACGGCCGCGACCTCTCGAACCTCGATTTTCCCGCGGTAACCCGGAAGCGGGTGGTAGACAACGGACTGGAGCATCGTGGACGTCGATATACAACAACACAAGAACCAGAGAGGCCACCCACCCCTGTCTGTGTGTGTCTGTGTGTTTGAGCTCGTGTGTATCCTCTCTCTCACTCTCTCTGTGTATACAACGTTGTGCCTCTACTACGTTCGTCTGTGGAGCGGCCGCGTGTACGAACGATAATGCTGGTGGCTGACGGTTTCGGTGATCGACGACGACGCGGCCGGTGAACTAGTGACAGTGTGAAATCGATCGTCAGCAGGGAAACCGGCAAACGGTCGCACTAAATATACCCGGGAATAATGGCCAGCGCGACAATGGGACTCCGTCGCAGAGTGCCGGTGAACAATTCGCCAACCCCGTCCAGCCAATCCGCGTCTTCCAGCGGTTCGTCGAGCAAACGTTCAAGGTCCGAGAACAACAACAGCCCTTCCCACGGTAATCTGAACTCTATGAACGGACCTCGAGATGAACCACCCACGAAGAAATCTCGCGGAACGTCTACTAACGCCAGCAAAAATTCATCACCGGAGACCAGTCCGTCGTCGAAGAGTCGAGGAGGTTCGGTGTCCAGGTCAGCCGCGCACAACAAAGCATCCGCAGCTTCCGCGGCAGAAGCGATGTCGAACAATTGGCCAACCTCGACGAACATGTCTGACGTGTCTACGTACGCTTCTGTAGCTGGTCTGAGCATGGCTGCTAACCCTAACGCCGCTGGTCTCTGCGCCGGTAGCCTCAGTATGCCCAGCCCGATCCCTTACATGTCCTCCTCGATGGCGACGTTCGTTGGAAACGCGACGAACTTGGGGAAAAGTTCGGCCGTGTCGTATCTGGACATCTCGAATATGACCGGTGGTTCGTTGAGCTCGGCCACGTCTGCCGGTATGAACTCTGGCTACGTTGGTAACGGAAACGCTGGTAACGCGATGGATACGAAGAACGGTGTTCCGATGCCGTTTCCCGGGATCGCTGGTGGCGTGAACGGGGCTGCTTACGGTTTGCAGAAGGGTCAGACAGACAGCGCTGGCCTACCGAAGAAATTTCAGAACGACGGAATGTTCAACGCTTATCAACCGTGGGTGATCAAAACGTACGGTGATTTGGCGAAGACGAAGACTATCACCATCAAAAAGTACGCGCGTATATTGAGAACATTGAGGGGCGAGGAAGTGAACAGTGCAGAGAACAGCAAGTTCCGGTTCTGGGTGAAGAGCAAGGGCTTCCACATCGGGCAACCGGAAGGATACGACGCGAAACCAGCGGACAGGATTATCGGGCGTCACGCGGTGACGAGTCCTGGATTGGACCCTCCGCTCTACGTGCCCACACAGCTGCCGCACAACAAGGTGAGTCTGTCTCTGAGTGGATTATCGTGCTTTTCGCGGCCTCGGCCGCAGCCTGCAGTTTTGCGGCGATGTACCATCGGTTCCAGGAAATTGCGAGTGGTACACGGAGTTTCGCCGTTTGAGGGTAATTGTTTGTTTGGTCGAACGACTGCTGGTGACGTAGGGTTAACGCGTTGTAATAATGGTTATTTGACACTTTTTCTCAAACTCCAAGCTGTGTAGATTTCTAGATCTGATTTTCTGGGAGATGCACAGTTTTGTTAGAGTTTGAAACTGTTTTTATTGGTTCGAAAAAATGCTACTTTACATTTGTAGATGAATTTTATCTCGAGTTGTATCACAAGTTTGACAGACGCAAACAAACAATTGCAAACCTAGCTCAAACAGGTCGAATCTTTTGTAAAGGTAGAAAAAGTTGCGTGTTTCTCGGTGAAATCGAATCTTTGAAAATTTGAGCCTAAATTTTCTCTTATTTTCACATCTTCCTTTCGATGGAGGTTTTGCCAACTTTTGAACCGAACGTTCGCCGGTAGAATAGGGTTGATTTGTAAAGGAACAGCCGTGAATCGAATCGTAGCGAATAATTCGAAATGACGAGCCGAATGCTGGGTAACCAAACGTTTTCGAAGTGAGCCACGCTAAAAATACTTCATATTGAGTTCGCACATTTGTCCGACGCCGCACCGAATATACTCTGACCACGTATAAACACACTCAGACTACTTTGATTCGGTTTTGCTCATAGTTGCCGTTTTTAAATTTCACTTTTGCAAACGTTGGACGAAACGTGCACTTGGTCGCGTTTCTTGTCAACTGTACCTATCATTTGTTTGGTTCTAGTCTTCGAAGCTATGCTCGGGCGTACTTTATGAAATTGCATTTAGCACGTACGGACTATCTTGTTATTTTTATTTCACATTTTTTTCATGGAAAATATGGAACCAAGTGTGAGATCTATGTTACGGTTCGTTGTATCTGGAGTGATGTCTTTCGAAAGTTCAAATTGAAAATTATTGAACTACATGCTTAAAGTGTATAAATTTAATTTTAGCCGAAAAACGTTAGATTTGACATTTCTTCGCCTGTTTTCTCAGCGATTATTTCGTCGGTATCTTGGAAAAATCGTAGTAATTTTCCAATTACCAATATTCGACTGCAAATTCAGATCGAGTCATCTTTGATCCATCGTGTTCAAGTTCACTAGAACAACGATAACCTTCACTCCCATCTATAAGTATCGAACACTCACAACTGTCCGATAAACTATGGAGATAAATTTGCAGTAAGGCCTTTGGTAAAGATAATATAATTAAAATTTCACCACAAGATAAGATTGACACTGGCAAAAGTAACATTCACCACCTTTAACAACCTCAGATCGTAAACACAGCTTGCATAAATCTACCAGACGCACGTACCACTGATCTATTCCTATTTTCTACCATAATAACTGCACACCCGTTACAGTTCCCGTTTTATTTTCGTTGTAACTTTTTAACGAAGCTTCCAACGACCCACGTTTATATAACATTTTCTTCTCACCTACACCCATGAAACACACTGACAAAGTTTCATTCGAAAAAATTGGGACACCCAGTATATACAATTTCCAACATCGCTCCAATCGTCTCCCACGTCTAAGACACGAATTTTCTCGAAGTAGTCAGTTTTTCGTCTACAATTTCCCCAGTCGTTTCCTTCTTCCACGAACCGTATCCGAATCAACCGACGACACGTTCTTCCAGCATATCCGTATCAAAAACATTCTTACAAAAATCCAGCGGCAACTGTTTCGTAACGGAGAGGAGCCACATATACAGCCGGCAGATAACAACGTATCGCGATGCAGTGAAAACTGGCCGTGGCAGTAAAACCGACATCCCCGAAAGCGAGGCGCGCTGCTCAAACGCCTTCCGGCCGCAGACGATTTCTCGGTGGATTCGCGCGGCGGGGTTACGGGTCGGGAATTTATCTGGCGAGCAAGTAGAAAAACCGCGAGAAATCTCGGGCCAGCACACCGGGCTTGCCAGGAAAATGGATCTCTCGTGTGCGGCGGAAACCTAAAGGCCGGGACGGACGGAACGGTGGAAAGGACAGGAGGGAGAGAGAGAGAGAGAGAGAGGGAGAAAACGCCTCGGATAAGGTGGTTGCTTAATTACGTCTAATTACACGGATACGTAGGTAGTAACCGCGAGAAGAAGAAAATGAAAAAAAGAAACGTGGAGCAACGGCGCTCTTTTGGATCTAGCTGCTGCTGCTGGTTTCGTCGTCGTACTCTGGCCTCTCTGTGAACGTTCACAGACGCCTTGGTGGCCTCCTCCTCGCCACACGTAACGCGCCGCCGCCAAGCTTCCGCGATTTCTCGCCGAGCCGAACTTTCGTCACGGAGCGATTACGCGCCACCAGACCTCCAACTGGTGGATTCCCTCTCCTCCCCCCTTTGCCCCGCCGCCGCCGGTTTGTGCGCTGGTAAACGGACGGGTGACGACGGGATCCGGGAAGATTGAAAGTTGAAGTGACGCCAGGGGATGGGGAAGGGGAGCTGAAGAGGCGAGGTTGAAAGGTCGATCGCGGGTTCGACGTTGAAGCGTCGCGATTGTTTCGCTGATCGACGGCCGCCGCGCAGGACTGGGTAGGTTTTTTCCGGGTGAAATAGAATCGCGGTCACATCTACGCCGAGGGAAAGTCTGTTTTTCTTTTTAGATTTTTATGTGTTTAAAATCGTTTTAAGGTTTTTAACACACGTTTCGATGGTTTCGGGAATGGAAGTTTTTGGGTGATGGAGGGAGTTATTCTTCGAGTTAGGGCGAATGTCTCATGATTTTTTGGAATTGAAGATTTTGGGTCAAGTTTTTGGAAGAGTAGGATCAGAATGTGTTTTTAGAAGTGTGGAGAGTTTATGTAATTTTATTAACTTTTTTTTCAAATTGGAATTTTTCATTTGTGCCACTGTCATTTTGGAAGAAAGTGCAGAATTGAAAGTTATTTTGAAAATCAAATTTTTGAATGAATTATTCTTGAGTACAATGGAAGAGTTCCATATGAGAACGTTGTAAGTACAATTGTACATAATTCCTGTTGATATTAGAACGATCCTAGCATTCCACGAGAAGAAAACAAATTTTTAAATAAAAATTGTTATTAACAGAAATACTTCCCGAACAATAATTGCACGCTAGTTAAATGCATCAGATCCCTTCGTTTCTCACATCTCCAGAAAATTTCACTTTATCTCCCGCTACTTGAAACGTTACGGTTTGCAACCCTTCAATTACATATCAGCAAAATTTTCGATACATTTCAGGTATCGTTCCATTTACTACAGATTCAGTAGAGAACACCACCCCGTACAAATTCTCTAACAACAGTTTCACGGTAGCATCGGTTCCCCGTCCGTTTTTCAATCATCCCACTCCAAAACGAAACAAACATAAATCACCGACGTTTCTCCGGTACTCGTAACATTCCTCGAAGATAAAAATTCCGGGCTCGATTTTTCCCACTTTTTGTCGCATTTTTGCCGGCTGGCCGGTGGCCCAGATCTCTCTCTCTCTCTCTCTCTCTTCTTCCTCTCTATTTCTTTCTTTCTCTTTCGCACAGCTCGATCCAGCTCGCGGCAGTTTCCGATGTAACGTGCTGCGGCCTTCGATGTCACCGCGTAATGGCTCGTCCATTTCTCACGGCGAGCTCGTATGGCTCCCGTCTCGTAAGTGGAACGCGCGCGCGAGGATCTCGAACTCTTGATACGCTCGCCGCGAAAAATTTCAGTCACGGGCCGCCGTGATAAATAACCGATAATAAGTTGTCTGGCGAACCGCCGCGGCGAGGAGGAGCGTGTGTATGGTAATTCAGACTCGCGGAACGTATCGATCTTACCAGGGAGAGATGATCGCGTGCCCGGCCCTCCCTCGCGATATCTTCTGATTGGAATCGATTCCGGAGGCTTTCTTCGAATCGCGGAGACCGTTTGTTGTTATCGGGACAACCTCCATTGTATTCTACACCGTGAATCGTTCTATGCGTGAAATGTGTTAGCTTTTTTAGTAAATAAGTTCGATTTTTATGAGATACGTACCATTTTTCTGGAAATTTGGAAACTCTAATTTTGTAAAAAATTTTAGGATTGAAATTTCCATCTGTAAATTTTGCGAACCATTGTTACGTACTTTGTTTGCTGTTTCAGTAGTATTTCTTTATTTTTTGGTAAAAGAAAAGAGTTACGTGTGCAAATTTCCTAATTTCCTACATTTTCACAACATATACGAACTTCTAACTCTTTAACCCTTTCATATCGCAATTACTTTTTTGCAAGAATTGGTTCTTAATCTACCTCTCACGGTGTCTGTGATAAATACTAAACGACACCTGCGTTCGTTGTTCGCGAAACTAGACGAAAGAATTTTGGACGAATTTCTACACGAGGAGGAACACGTTCGATTACATGGGTAGCCGAAGTAGAAAAATAATTCGAAGGAAAAATTCCATCAGAAATACGACGTTAAGCCGTTTCTCCATGGTCGGTGCGAGAGAAGCAAACGAGCGAACGAACGCGCGTTTTCCCGAGGCTTTGGGTCTGGAGGCGCGCGCGGGCGCGTTCTCAGGCGGCGACGGGGCAAAGAGTGAGACAGCGTGAAGGTTGGAGAGAAAGAGAGAGAGAAAGATAGATAGAGAGTGCGGCGGCAGAAAGGCAGAGCGCGGCTCGGAGCTATCATTAACGACGCCGCGACGCTTCACAGCCCAGGAAGCTCTCTCGGATTTACGCCTCTGACGTCCGCGGCGGCGTAAGCGTGGGATTCCAGGCGCGGAAGTAACGAGAGAGAGAGAGAGAGAGAGAGAGAAAGAGAGAGAGAGAGAGGTAGGAGTAAAGGAGAAGGAAGCGGCGACGGCGGCGGCAGTGGTGGCGGAGAGAGAGATTGGCCCCGCTTCCCACGGAAGGAAGAGGAGCAGAGCAGGCGCATAAAGTTGCCCGGTTCCCTCGTTCATCCGATCCGGATTCAGTT